ATTCTAAACACTCTCGTTTTGAAAGGATGAAAATCTGTGTAGACCACAAACACCATCATGACCGGCTGGTCGACAGCGATGTGGTGAAGACTGCTAAACGGAGCGGGTCGAATGTTAGCACCGGGTCCGCTTACACAGCACTTCTTCGAAGCAACCGGCACTATCGCCGAAAACTGTAATTTAATCGTGATACGTTAGCCATAAACATTCTAATTTAGCGGATATTTAGTGCGGCATAACAGCAGCAATAAAATGGTCACTTACTAGTTTCCTCTGTTAGGCACTTCCTAACTGTTATTAAAGTATCCGTGAATATCCGTGATGCAATACAGTTATAATACAGCTTAGTAATGCAACACAAACAGTACAATGATCGTGCAGTGGATAATGTCTAGGAGAGGCTCACCTTTTTCAGAGCCTAGAAGATCAAGTTGATTCACAATGCACTCAGTCGAAACTTCCATAACCTCAAAAGAAAACGTAAGAAATGAGTTTTGGACAGCATAGTAGGAAGCCTTATTTCAAAGCACTCATCGTTTAGATGTTTTAGGTCTTTTAAAAATCCCTTGAAGATCTGCCGCTCAAAGTCGGTGCTCTAGAGAATCTATGAGTCCTTCAGTTCACGAAGATTAACCTGAGGTATGGTGCGAGCTCACCCGTTAACACGAAGCACTCTATATTGCACTTCATTGTTGGGCCTTCACCATGCATGCAAAAGGTTTCCAAAGTTTCACGCGAAGCGGGACTCGAACCGCAACCTCACACTATGCTGCAGCTGTGTTTTTGATTCCTTTAAGAGGACCGTGAGTTTGACGTCAAAATCTGCTCTTTATGCTATTGATCCCTATGCATGCTTAGTGGAGTTTTTGGGTCGGAGTTACGGAAATGGTATATCACATAGGATTTGATTAGTCAGAGTAGTTCAACAAACTATATTGAATTCTGCAATTTGATGGATTTCGAGTTACTCCACCTTGAAAATCAAGTGGGATCTTCGTGATTGAAAATCCATAAAGAACTTCTCTTTGAACTGCTCTCACCGCGATCACCATGAAGACGACAGATGTTGCGAAGTTTGTAGAACCACTGAAGTAAGATGAGAAGGTGATAAGCATGGCTGGTCCAATTTCATCCACCAACACTCTCTTGTAAACCATCAATGCACCAAGGAGCACCATAGATCGGCTACCTCCAGGATTGCATAGTAAGCCGCCTAAACCAGAAGTTCATGCCATAAATGAGAGGAGAACTCCTCATGCAGCAGTCGAAGGTGCAAGCGAAATGTTCTCAAAACAATTTGGAAGATAAATAAGAAGAAACAAATCAAATGAGAAATTTGCGGGGATCCTCACAGTATATTGTGATGATGTGTCGTGTCGATTCATGATAAACAACAATCAAAAACAACTAAATACGCTCCGTGTTGCTAATGACATGCGATATAGAGAAAGAACAAATCGTACTTTCATCAATGAAGTTGTACAAACTTCTACCGAATATCCGTAACATTGCTTTTAACAGGTTTCCTGGTTTTAACTAGGTAAGTTTCCCCAAGTTCAGCTATCACGTACAAAGTGGCGATGACATTAACAGGATTCTAAGCAAAGAAGGCGAAAAAGGAATGCAAATGGCAAAAGGGTAAACAACAAAAGCGAAACAACGACTGTTGACACTATGAAGGCGATAACGATCGGTATGGTGACTGTGTAGGTAGCAACTGTCCAGAACAATGCATATCGAAGAAAGTTTGAAAGTTGTGTTTTCTGTGATGTTACTCGCAAGTAACTGAATAACCAAACCTGCACTCTAGCATAAATCGGATACCATTTCTTTTCTTCGTAGGAAAAGCAATTCAGTTAGCGAGTGAAATTGTGTGTCAAGCAACCCGCATTCCACGCCAGTTCACGTGTTAATTTGCTGTGGTACAGTGAAAATGTGAATTTATAAGACTGCTGATGCTGTTAATGAAAGGGTTATCATGAAGTTAATTATGAAATGAAGGGAACGATAAATTTTGGTGCATTTGCATACGCAGTAATCTTAATTATTGGCCACATTGCACAGTAGGAAACAGGTAAGTAGCTTCCACTGACGGGTGCATAAGTAGTGAGCTTATCAAGAAAAATAAAGTGCATTTGCTACTTCTGAATAAGCGTATTTAGACCATCGTGTCTTTATTATCAGTGCAATGTACATTCACAATCATGTTCCATATAAACATATAAGTTTGCCACTGATATGTCGAGAACTTTAGAAGCTAATTTTTAGATCAGGTCAACTTAGCACTCATTTCTGATATTAAGTAAAAGGCAAAAGATGGACGAATCAGTTAGGAAATCTTACCAGATTATCGACCACAAAATGGGTAATTGGCCTACATATGAATGATGTAGCCCACATGGAGAAGTCTGGGAAGTTGAATTACCTTTTAGTGTTGCGAAGTTGTAACTTTAAGTGGAAATCGTCATCCTTTGGACCTGCAAAATCAATTAGCTTTTCTGAACGACTATGCTGGCAAGTAGTTTATATGAAAGTTCTAATCGCTGAACGTAGACCATCGACTCCAACCAATCCTGCTCTGAGCAAGGCGAAGACGTCGAAATGTTAGCCGAATAGATTGTTATACCTCTATAAAGTCAGGCAATAATTCAGGCGAAGACGATCTTTTCATTGTAATGGTCTTTGTTGTAGGTGTACAAAGTTCTTAGAAACATATCGGTTCAATCACTGCCTAAATGTCTGTAGTTGTTGTGTGGAATTCGTTTCTATAATGAAGTAGTCCAATTCGTATAAAGAGGTACTAATTGGAAATGATAAGTGGTGTTTATGCGCCTACCTGCTCTTTCAAATTAGTCTCATTGAAAAACAATTGCCTAGTTCCATCGAATAGGTCAAAACATAACTGAGAAGGCATAACGAGAGATCGCGAGTTCGAATCCACCTCAGGTTCTTAGTTTTGCTCGTATTTCGACACTCTTCCTGTTATGGTTGTGTTAACAACACCATACAGTGTGACTCTCTAATATAGTTGTACTTAGCGTTGCATTTATCTCACTAAATTTCACATTTGAGCTTGTTATAGCTCTTCGAAGTATGGCCGCTATCAAAGGAACTTTGAAGGATTAAATATATCAGTAACTATACAAATAAGCTTAAATTCTTCACGAAATGACATCTTAAGATATGATGCTGAGCTTCTCACAGATGATAAGAACCCTAATTATTTTTTTTCCACTCGTTAAATGATATGCTTGAGTTCAGCGAATAACTATTATCATTGTAATTCTTTTTTAAGTAGTCTCTTCATGATTATAAGAGGAGCAACAATGGAAGTATTTTCTCGAATTTTGGGTAAAGGAAAGTTCTTTTTGTGATTTTTTTTTGCAAATCTGTTATTCACTTGTGAAAAAGTGCTAAATTAAAGTACACCATATTCTACACTATCATGTAATTTTCAACATCACAATCACTAATGGACACTCATAAGGCTTGCCAATTTATTAGGGTTCCAATGCCATAATTTTCTTGAAATAAAAAGGCCTGTCTGAAATACATCAAACTCAAAATTTAGCTTCCGCTAGCAACAGCAGATGCTGATGCGAAGTGCGATTCAAGTGGACCCGATGCTAACATCCTAACTGCTTTGTTGATCACACTTTGCCACATCGTTCTCGACCAGCTCGCCGTGACGATGTTTCTGCTCTAAAGAGATCTGTTTTGCTTTATTGAATGAGGTTTGCACAAAATAGAAAGCTGTTGAAATCGAGATAACTCTTCCAATTGTCAAGTGCTGAGGGGGAATAGCCGCCAAATACATCATACATGCCATCTGCGCTTGCCCCATTGGTTGAGTGCAAATACTTGTTACCGTGTTGTCACCAATAATGCAGTTCTTTTTCATCATGTCGGCATCTGCAGGGAACTATGAGGCTTAGAGAGACTCTTTCTTCCTATACACTGGAAAACTAGAACTACTGAGAACAGTTTTACCTACTATAAAGCATTATACAGTAGTTTTCATTTGCTTTATCAGGATTATTAACATTATTCTGCTTCTTCCAAATACATCCCCTGCCTCAAATTTTTTTTTCTGATGGGCGTTCAAAAAAGAAGACTCACTCATTCCCAACTGGCCAGAAGAAAAAACTTTCTGACACTGTATTGGTTCGTAAATGATCGTGACACTGAGTTGACCCGAAATAGATGAGATGACAATATCAGGTAAAGTGCGCTACGGCCATCACTTTCGAGAACATCAAAAACCTGTAAGACGAGCTTTTCAGTACTCAAAATACCAGGAGGAGATCGTAACCAGTTATTGTAAACGATGCATAGACATGAAAGCATTAGGATGCTGACGAACTACCAGAAAACTGAAGCGCATTTTCCACACTTCTCAGAACGAGTGGAAGAAGAAAAACACTTGTAATCTAGAAGCTGCAAGCTTACTGTATGCATTGCAATACGTGATACAAATACTCGAACTCCATCCCTGCTGCCTGCAATACCAGGATGTTGAGCAGAAATCATCTCCAGTTGGTATAAATCATGGCAACAGGCATTGTGAAGTCTGTGACGATGAAGTTCCTAATGCTTGCTGTAACGAAGTCTCGTCCTATTTGCAATCAGAAATCAAACCGCTTTGTGGTATAGTCTTTCAGCCCCATTTATTTCCTGTTAAGAGCTGAATGGAAAAGCTCTAAATACCACAGCAATTAAGGACTGATAATGTGTTGGAAATATTCATTCTTATTAGTGTTCATAAACTATCACCTAAGGTTGAAAATATCCATAGTAAAACATTTTTTTGTTTACTACCTTGATCTGCAGATATCACTCCACGTCCAAATACTGTAAAGATTGTGGCCAGCAGCAAAATCACGATAGGATGGGTCGGAAATTCCGCCAAATTTGCTGAACTTTTAATTTTATCTTCTAGAAAACTGAGTAAATACTATAGACTTGTATACCTAAAAGAATTAAGTGGTGAGCAAAAACGCGGCCTCAGGAGGGAATCAAACCCGCGTTTCATCCACACCGGGGATTTGTGCTACTACCACTACACCACCGAGTCACATTAGCACCACCACTCATTCTTCAACATCTCTATCGTAGCTATCAGCCACCAACTTTTAACAGTGTTGGTCGGGCCTGCGATTTCGCTTTATAAATTCAGTTGAGCTGACAGCCATTGTAAGATGTGATGCTCCAAAATTCTAGTATTTTCACTGCTAACATAGAGATGATGAAGAATGAGTGGTGACGCAACTATGCATCCGTGGTGCAGTGGTAGTAGCATGCACCCCCGCTATGGATGAAACCCGGGTTCGATTCCTGCCTGAGGCCGCTTTACTGCTCACCACTTAGTTCTTTCAGGTTTATATATAACATCATAACACTGCGAAAACAGAAGTAAAAATACTGGAATCTCGGACTATAGACTCGATCAAAAATCGATACACCTTTTCTCAATGAGATCACATACAAGTTACAACGGAGTTTGGCACAGCAAAATGCGTAAACTTCGGCGTAGCAGCTGCTTGGTTTTTTTCAATAGATCTAGGTGCCTCCATTCTATTTATCCCGCGGCAACATCCTTCAAGGCAATCACGACAGATTATATTATTCAGAAATGATCAGAAGAGGTTAGTGAAGGGGAATGTATGCCACCTTTTCATCAAAGCGGCTTGCGTTGATTAGATTACTTAAATTTAATTTTTAAGATGATACGACTTGAATTTGATTCTCACCATCTAATCTGTGATGCCGCGACACAAAATCTGGCTTCCCCAAAGTAAAACATCGTAATCATCAGAGCTTGACGTTACAAGTGCACTTTGAAGAGAACATTTGTGTAGAAAAAAAATCGATTGACAAAAACCGAAGCACAACTTTTGGTGTGAAATGTTTTCAGCAAAAGTAAAAACTCCATTTGGGAAACTTTGAAGTTCTCATTAGCTCCTTCCATTTGGAACGAATTGAAATTTTTGCTATGACGAAGAGGGGGTCGACTGGCTGCCAAAAAAAGTTCTACAGATTTGCATTGAGGGATTAAGAAACAGGCGAAAAGCGAGATAGTACCGAAAACTCACCATCATCAGATAGGTTGAAGGAAACAGCATCACGATTGTCTAGAAAGAAACATAATCGTGTGAAGCCATTAAGTGTTGTTGTGAGGAAGAAGACACCTTCACCTTGACGGACTTCTCAAAACAGGGGAATGAGGACGGATAGTGGGCGTTGGCAAAAAAAGCGAGTGAGGTGATTCTGACTGAGTCCTCTCTGTTCAACTTTTCAACTGTTCCAGTTTTCTCATTAAAGTGGATGTTTATGCAAACGCCGTCAGTTTTTCGCGCCTTCTTCTGCATGTGTAGAGGAAACAAAATTTATTGTTGTACAGTCCCCAGAGAAAATTTTCTTTCCATTTGTGCAGCGGTCTCAAACTCTCTAGCAATCTATATCATCTACGCAAGTGCTGAAGGGGAACCATCTGAAAGGTGAAAACTTGTGCTTTACTTAATCATAATTTATCTGACTCACTTATCTTTCGCTTATACTATTAAAGCATTCAAAATTTCTTTGAAAAGCAGCGATTTGAAGCAAATATTGCTGGATCATATACGAAAATAAGCTGCGCAGAACTACAGTTACCGCGATTGCGGCACTTATTGGAGAAGAGCAAAATCACTCTACTGCTCATAAAATTACATATGAGAATAGGATGATTTCGAATCCAGATATCAAAGAGCTATTCATTGGCGGCAGTACCTTGTTTGAACTAAATTCCCTTTGGGAAATTTTTCTCTATACAAATTGCCTGTTGCCAGTTGTGCTTGAGGTACGTGGTGGAGAAAAAGACGTCAGATAAGTCTGCTAAAGTTCTATTATAATGATTTTTACGACATGTGTCAAGGCCGAAAGACGTGTATTGAGCTCTATAAACTGCCCATAATAGATCACATGCATGACTCAAAAAATAATTATCGGACATAGTGATTTTCACTTTTTTTACTTCGTAAAAGAAAATTTGGAAACGCAGTCAGTGTTGTAGAATCTTGGGTCTTGAAATGATTTTAGCATGGCTACGATGTCTCTTAGCCTTATTGACACTGCAGTGCTTTGACCAGAGTTTTCTGAGAAATTGTTTAATCACGGTTCATGTGAGCAGAACTGTTTCACAACGTTATACTGTTCAAATAGCCATATAGTAAGGAGCTGATCGCTTTGAAATCATCCTGGTTTCGCTGTAAATTAATTTTAAAAGTTTTTTTTCTTTGAAGACTCATTTTCTACAAGTGTAAAAACATCAACAAGTAAGACTATCTCTGGGAATCAAAGTAAACCACGGTACTTTTCCATTAGCTGAGCGCCACTTCGACTCCTTAAAAAAAAGCATCTCTTGGCCTTTTTCAATGTTCAAAAAATCGGTCGATAGCGCAAATCAAAAGAATTTGAATGGTGTTTTCTATTTCTGGAAAGGACTTTAAATTGAGCTGGAAGAGCAAGAATAAGATTTTGTTTCTTATTGAAAGATTTCTCGCTGTTCAAAGAATTTCCTTTGCAGTTCTAGTAACTAATCGATAGACAAAATCTTAAGAATTCTTACAATCTATTTGACTTTTCCCATGAACTCGACATTACCCTATAACATTCAAAAGAACTATGGGTTTCGCAAAAATGGATCACTTCAACTGTCCTTTCTTCAATTCAATAAAATGGAAAAAAACGTATTTTTGGTCGTTTATAATAACTAAATAATCAATCAATAGCCAAAGTTAAAAACAATTGAGTGGGGTATTTTACTTACAAAAAGGCCTTGTTATTGCTTTGAAAGACCAAAATAATAACTTGTTCCTCATTCAAAGATTTATCGCTGACAGGGCCCCTCTCATGTAGTTTTAAATATTGAACGATAGATCAAAAAGGATGCCAATGATGTTTTGTAGTCTCTTGAACAGACTTCTTAATGCTCTATAGGAGTCAAAAGAAAACTGAGCTTCGCACTCGATGAATCAATTCCACTTAGGCGAAACCCAATTTTTTTTGGCTGTTGCAGCGTGATACGAAATCGATATTCAAAACCAAATAAACTGTTGGAATCCTCAAAATTTAATCTATCGAATAATAACTAAAGCCCCAAAGGAAAAGCTTTGATCAACGAGACATCTTTGTATGGGGAACAAAACTTATTTTTGCTCTTTCAGCGCAATATAAAGGCTCTTTTGGAGATGGAATCACCTGTATCACGTGTCTTCCCGTTGATCGTCGAGTGACTCGAGCGGGTACCAGCAACTCTTCCATTTTTCCCTATCGCGTGCAAGAGTAGCCCAGTGGGTCCTCCTCGCTCTAGGGATTCGCTGAGCGTCATATCTTTCTTCTATCGCTTTCGTGAAGAAATCGGACCAACTGGTCAGTGGTCTTCCTTTAGAGCGCTTGACGTCCCGAGGAATCCAGTCGATAACGGCTCTCGTCCATCGGTTGTCGTCAAAGCGCATCACGTGTCTGGCCCACCTTATTTTCGACATCCTGGCGTGTAGAACGGCGTCTCTGATTTTCAATCGTTGACGTAGGTCGTAACTTCGGATCCTTTCTCTCATTTGCGAAATACGAGATACTCCTAGCATCGACCTTTCGACTGCGCGTTCGATAACGGCAAGTGATCTTTTATCCTGCTTCCGTAGCGGCCAGATTTCTGCTGCATACGTCAGGGCAGGGATAATTATCGAGTCCAAAAGGTGGGCACGGAGTCGCATGTTCTTTGTCCTCTTCACTACGTCTTCGATGCTCTTAAACGTTCCCCAAGCCGCTCGTTTCCTCCTGCTCAACTCTGGAGCTAGGTCACTCATCATGTTCATTTCACGACCTATATAGACGTAAATGGAGCATTTGGAGATTGTCATTTCGTTCAGCGTGAATGGGGCATTAGAAACCCATCCGTTCCTCATGAACATTGTTTTCGTTAGATTCAGATGAAGACCAATCTTTCCACAAGCGTTATCGAAATCGGTCAACATTCGTTCTGCTTGGCTGACGTTTCTTGTTATGAGGACGATATCGTCAGCAAGGCGAAGATGGTTTAATTGTCGACCGTCAATTTTCACTCCCATATCGTTCCTTTCTAATGCTTGCATGACATTTTGTAGGGTGGCAGTCAATAGTTTTGGCGAAATTGTATCGCCTTGTCGAACCCCTCCTCTTACGTCAATGGTGATATTGCTGTAGAATGGAGACATTTTGGTCACGAAATCTTTATAAAGCTCACGAAGGATCATTATGTACCGAGTAGGGACGCTCTGGTTATCTAGAGCCTCAATAACCGCTTCTGTTTCCACTGAATCAAAGGCTTTCTTCAGATCGATGAAAGTGAGACAGAGTGGTTGTTTGCACTCTCGTGAAACTTTAATGAGTCTTGTAATCGCGTGGATGTGGTCCATGGTACTAAATCCTTTTCGGAACCCTGCTTGTTCGCATGGCTGTCCTCCGTCCAGTGTTCTGTCAATCCTGTTTAGGATGACTCGAGTAAAGAGTTTATAGACAACGGACAGCGAGCAGATTGGGCGATAATTGCCTATGTCGTGAAGGTCTCCCTTTTGAATAACAATACGGTCTTGCTGGTTTTCCACTCAATGGGAACCTTGCATTCTGACAGGTAGCGAGTGAAGAGCCGAGCCAGGGTGTTGATGAGAGCTGGTGGCAGATTCGTCAGATGTTCTGGTCTAATCCTGTCTGGACCGGTTGTTGTTCTGTTCTTCACCGACGATATAGCATGCCGGATTTCGGAAGGGAGGACCGGTGGAAACGACATATTCGTCCTCTTTTAATTTAGATGACGCTAAGAGGACATGGCTAGCGATGAGATCCAAGTAGTATTGGTGGATGATTTTTTTATAGCCCTTCTCAAAGCCGTAAAAGGCCCGTCAGGGTTTCGGAGTGCAATCATCTTGGTCTTATAGTTGGCGAAGCCTCGCTGGGCTTTGCAAATGCTCTTCCCAGCTTCTGTAGCTTCTGCCATAACTGCTGCTCTTCTCTCTTTGAGGTCTTCTTTTATCGCTTCTCTGCAGCGTTTCGCAAGTTCGGACGTAAGGTTTCGGTTTCCTGCAGCTCGTGCGATTCCAGGTTGACGTATCAACTCGAGTGTCTGCGGAGACAAGCGTCTCTTCGTGACCTCAGGACTCTCGGCTTTTATAGCGCCAACGTGAAGATATTTAACGAGTCGATCGTATTCTTCGTCGATGTTGTCGACAACGGTATCTTCCCAAGAGCCGACTAATGATTTGAATACATCCCAGTTTATGGTAGTTCTGGGACTTCGTTGTTTGAATTTAGCGGCTTTCTCTCCTCTCCTT